GCCTGTCCGCCTTTGGTGGCCGTAACGTGGAGGGTCTGCTTGCCACCACTGAGAGCTACCTGCCCTCCTCCAACGCCTGGCAGATGCGTGCCCCCATGGAAGTGCCCCGCTGCTGCCACGCCAGTGCCACTCTACCATCTGGAGACATCCTGGTGACCGGTGGATACATCAACTGTGCCTACTCCCGCTCAGTGGCGTGCTACAACGTGGAGGCCAACACCTGGACCGAGAAGACATCCATGGAGACTCCCCGTGGCTGGCACTGCTCTGCCACCCTCGGAGGGAATGTGTACGTGGTGGGAGGAAGCCAACTAGGGCCTGCTGGAGAGCGTGTGGATGTGCTCTCTGTGGAGGTCTTCTGTCCAGAGAGTGGAGTGTGGAGCCGGGCTGCCCCTCTCCGGCTGGGCGTGAGCACCGCTGGCCTGTCACCACTGGCCGACAAGCTCTACCTGCTGGGAGGCTGGAATGAGGCAGAGAAGCGCTACAAGGCGGCCGTCCAGAAGTATGACCCGGCTACGGACAGTTGGTCCATGGCCGAGGACCTGCCTGAGCCCACAGTGGGAGTCTCCTGCTGCACCCTGACCCTGCCACCCCGCCAGGCACCGCGCCGGCAGCAGCATCGGAACACCCCGGCCCACGAAGAACAGCAGCAGGGCGAGAAGAACCGGAGAAGAGAGAGTAGCTTGTCTCCATCACAGAGAAACACAACAGGGGGAAACTAGAAGAGAGGATGGATGGTTCAACCTCTGGAGAACATCTGGGTTAAGGCTGCAACTAAAGAGTCATCTGTGGATTTATTTATTTATTTATTGATTAATCAGTTAATCACTTGGTCTGTACGTTGTCAAAATGCGCGTAAAATATTCACAATAACCAAGGTGACATCTTTAATTGTTTTCTATTGTTCAATCACCTGTCCAAAACACAAAACTATTTTCAGTTAAGAATGAAATGCAAAAAAACAAGAAGCAAATCTTCTGATTTGAGAAACTGGAAGCAGGCTATTTTTTTTTTTGCTTTAAAAATAACTGAAATAATCAATTATTTGTTGTTTATCTGCTCTATTCTGGATCAGGTCTGCACATTTTTTCTGTGGAAAAGATATTTAGCAATCTAACACCAACACATTTTTTTTGCAGGAACAATAGCAGCACAAAGACGCAAAGACAAAGTGAAATTAAACAGCAGCATGACTCCAATAACAATAATCACTAACTACTTAAGTACATTTTAGGGGCCAAAAAGTACTGACAACAATGATAATAAACATTAAAAAACAAGACTTAATAACTGCCACTGTTACCACCAGTGTAGGTGAGATCAAATGCAAACTGACCCACTAAAACCATTTGTGATCTATCATCTAGTTTCATAATTAAAACAGCAGCAAGTTAAAATTGGACGGTGATATAAACACAACTGGCTACAAGCTCCTTCAGTCCATGCAGCTCTGTAGATAAAAGAGCCTGCATGATGCACAGTGGTCTCAGGAGGTTTGAGAGTGATGAAAAACGGACAAGGAAAAGGGCTGAAATGAAGGGTGGAGCAGGTGGAGGTAGAGAGGTGGAGGATGGAAACGGTGGCTGTCTGTGTTTGAGTGTGTTTGGATTGAACATCACAACTGTGAATCCACTGGCGGTTTGTGTACAAAAGTGTAGAGTGTGTGTTGGGCAACTGTCAGCGTGTGAATGTTTGTGTGAGAGTGAATGATGGGAGTGTGTCGGCACCATTTCTGACAAAAAACGCAATAGCAAAGATTTCTCATTAGCAAAACAGCAGCAATAAACAAACCTGTTGGTTCTATTTATTTAACAGATATTGTATCTGTCAGAGTGGTGTTGCTCAAAAGTTAAAAAAAAAAGAAAATTAAAAAATACATAGATTTAAAAAAAATTGAAAAAATATATAGTAATTAGTTTATAAGGGGGGAATGCAAGAGCAGAGCAGTGTGAAATCAACACAGGTGAGATTCAAAAGGAAATAAAGGTTCAAACATCTTGGCTTCAATATGCCACAAAACAGTGAAAAAGACTATAAAATATTTTTCTTACAAAAAAAGCACAAAATCTGAAAAATGAAAAAAAAGAAGGGGGGCAGGGGGTTAAAATCAGTCTTACATCTCACCTGTTTGCTTTTTCACCGTCTGCCATCCTCACATCTAATTTGGACTGAAGCTGAAACTACCCACTGAAGGACCAGTGAGACTCCAGCAGGTGGAAAGACAAACTGGTAAAACCCTCATGATAAATAATATTGTTTATAACGACACACAACCAGGCTAACTTGGCTCTTCCAATTGGCTGATTCCTTTTGTATCAGTCTCCTTGTCACTGGATGTGTGTCTGTGGGGTTTCACTGAATAAAGCCAATCTGATCAAAATGCCAGTTTTCTGCCTTTTCATTCACTTATTCTGGGAAATAGTGTGACAACAGAAAGGTCCAAAGCAGCTCTGCTGCAAGAACGTCACAAATGTCATCAGGGTTCAGAAATGTGGAGACGATCAAATTCAGCTCTTAAATGCATCATCATAGCAGTGAGACGGTTTCCGGAGTTTTAACTCATCTCTCTCCAGTTAAGATTATAACTTCAGACTCTGACACACACCAAGTCCCAGTGAGAAACCAGCTGAAGTTTTGAGCTCTATGTAAACAGTGGACACTTTGGAATTACCTGCATTTGGGTGTAAAGTTATATTATGGTTAGATTACGTAAATTACAATTATGAACTATTTAGGAACACAAATCAGTGCATTGTTGTTGCTCATTAACAGATCAAATGCCAAAGTTTACCTTTAAGAACCACAATCAACTTGAGAATGTGCAAGTTTATGTGGATAGAGGGTGCGGGGGTTATAAACAGAGTACCTGCACTACAATCTGGGGCAGTGAGGAGGTGTGAAGTTTACCTCACCACACTCTGGTTTAGGAGCTTAATACTAAACCTTAGCCTGTCTTATCTAAGTGCTCAGAATCTACAGACCTTCCCCTAGAGATGGAGACAGACCTGGCTGCAGATTAACGATGGCGGATTGTGACCAAGGCTGTTCTGTCAACCTCAGCCACAAGTTGTCAACACTGCATAAAGTGGGGAAGCGGGTTAACCCCTAACCTGCCAAGATGAACTTCCAGCTAACATTGACCACCTCCTGCCGAGGTCGCAGGTCCTCTTACAGAGACGTTCCAGATCAGCTAAACAGCAGCATACCTTTCAGTGCCACAGTAACCAGACAGCACAACAAAGTCATTTTTCCCATTTTATTACTTTGTTACAAACAAGATCAGAAGGTGGTCCTTTACTTGCCGGGGAGGATGATGCCATCGTACTGAAATATAGCAGAGAGAAGAGGAAAATGTTTAGGTTAAATCTCGGTAAACAACTGAACCACAAATGCAAGAATCAGACCCCAGTAAGGCAAGAAAAATAAAACAGCAATGGGAGTTAATTAGCTCTGTAGTAAATTCAGTAGAACATATAAAAAATGTGCAGCTGGATGAACTCGACCCTAGCCTGACCCCATTTCCTGTCAGGTAGCATGCACGCATTTCATCTTGGTAAGGTAAGGTAGGACTTTGAGCACTGGAGCATTTACAGTCTGGTGGGGCAGGGGGTCTTTTTATGAGCTGCTCTGGTTAAGCAGAACCGGTTTTAAAGCTTCTAACTAACTGTCCTGTCCCAGTTGTGTTTGATCTAACATCAGCTGTGATCACACACACACGCACACACACACACACACAATAAGTGTCTCCAGACATTCCTCTCACTGGTCATATAATTTCTACCAGTGGCTAGTCTGGTTAGCTCATGCCTCCTCTGAGCTGCTACAGATGTGCAGAAATATTAAATTCTTAAACTCATCTGGACTCTGTCGAACATGTTTTCACCAAAATATTCACTTATGAAGCTGATGTAAAAACTTCACATCTGTCAGGATGTGTGAACTCACTTTCTGCTGGAACCAGCGCATGGCCTCCTCTTTACGGATGCGGTGTCTGAAACCAATGCGGCCTCTTTTCCGTTTCTTGTCGGCGATGCTGAAGCCGGGTCTACCCAGAACCTGAACACAAAGAAGGCGAAGCTGCTCTGAAAAGTTCTGACTAAAGACGTTGTTGCTCCAATACACATGAATGCTGCAGAAGCACCAACCAACATCACATTTGTCATTCTGAGGCTAAAGCTGAACATTTCATGTCAGGACTGGGATTCAAGCAGAGTCAGTACCAGTCCGATGGTTATTCTCAACACTACAGAATGCCACATAATAATGATGTGACTTAGAAAATGTAACCACAAATTGTTTTAACATGTATTTCAACAGCTTAAAGTGCAGTTGGTAAATCAAAATTAACTACTACTTTCATCACCACATTTGGACTGAAGTTTGTGTAGAAAATATGCTATATGTTTGTATTTGCAGCTCTGATACTCTGGTGTTGTATTAGCAGTTACTAAAACCACTGAAGTGAAACCACCAACTGTCACTTGTACAGACGTCTTATGGTCAAATGTCTTTTGCATAATAATAATAATAAGTGTCAGTAGCTATAGTGAATTAAAAACAACAGCAGCTCAAACATTAAGGATCTTACCACGTAGAAGTCCAGGCCGTAGATGCCGATGCTGGGGTCGTACTTGATGCCCAGATCAATGTGCTCCTGGATACCAAAGCCGAAGTTTCCTGTATCTGAAAAGTTGTTTTTTCTCAACTCGTACTCACGCACCTGAAGAAAGCGCAGAGTGGTCCTTAGCAACAAAGCATGTTCATGACATCATAATACCATTGATAAATGCTCTATTTTAATGACTGTCCATCATTAGCATGTAAGACACAGTCCAATAAACCCTTCAGACATTCCCCCCAAATCTTTTGGTAGTATTAACAGACACAGCAATCTGAGCCTGCATTAATGTTTCTGTATGCTCACTTAATTAATTCAGTATGGCCATTTTGCTCATTTCAATATTGAGACAATCTTTTGGCCGACAAAACAAGTGAAATAATAAATCGGTTGTAGGATCAAAAATATGATTGTTAATTGCAGCATGAGTTGAAAACTGATTTACAAGATATGACCAAAAGATTTTCTGGCAAGTTTATTTAATATTTTGAAACTGACATTTCTGCCTTTTAGGGCAGAGATCACCTTTCAGGTTAAATAATCAGAGAAAAGACAACATGACCTTCTGACCTTGAGTCCTTTCTCCAGGATCTCCTCTGCTTTGGCTCCACGGACGGTGCAGTGGACAGCAATCTTTTCATTTCTACGGATACCGAAAGATCGTACAGTGTAGCGGGCTGTGGGAGGAAGGAGGAAAAACCCCATCTTTAAACAGTTTTGTGATGCGATAGCCAAATCTGCATTTTCCCCCACAAGGAAAATTCAGACAATTTCCACACAATCCTGACAAAGTTACAAGGTATCAGAGAAAAATATTTACATTTGTAAATGAAATTGTTCTTAACACATGATCATACTCCATGTGGGACTTTCTTCTATACAGACAACAATCAGGGTATACGTATGAACGTTTCTCACATGCACGCTAGAAAACATGACAGTGACCTCTGACAGCAAGAAGAGGACCTCCTTTGCTTCTTGTATTTGGCTGAGCAACATTATGAATGAAAAGCATAGGAGCAAGAATACGAAAACCTACAGCATGGTGCAATAATCCAGCATCCAGTTAACTTTTTGGGTCTATGCTCAGTCTGCACTGTCCCAGATTTTGGGCCACACATACAGATGTCTGTACAGGGTCCACATACACATTTCTGCCTTGGGCTTAAGATAAAAGTTACATTGCACCAATCTTTGCAAAGCCCATGAACTGGCCTTCACACTGACACTCACCCTTTGAGAAGACAGGGGTCTGCCCTGTGAGCTGCTCCAGCACTTTAGCAGCACGGGTCAGTCTGTCTCCGCTCTCACCGACACAGATGTTCAGGCAGAGCTTGCGGATGCGGAGCTCTCTCATAGGGTTCTCCTTCTTCTCACCCTGGTCCTGAAGGACACAAAATAAAGAATCCACCTCACACCACAAAGAATTTAGAACCACAAAACTGACAGAAACACCAGGACAATAAACCAGTACACACACTGAAACGAATACTAAGAGGTTGGGATACCTTGTCAACTGTTGCAGGCATACCGATTTCACCTACTAGCGTTGGTGATAACAGCATATGCAAGCAAGCTAGACTGTCATTTCTGAAAAACTTAGCAGTTAAACAGAGCTTACATTTAACATTTACAGGTTATTATTATGTCTACACGAGTCCTGAGTTTACTCTTCTGTCTCAACAGTATTTCATTATCTGTTTTATAGTCATTGTTTTGTTTTATGTGTTTATATTATACAGCACTCTGGTGCTCCTGTGAGCGCTATATAAATAAAGTTTTATTATTATTAGCAGTCTCCGAGAAACACATGCCGGCCGGAGGACATGTCCGTACATATCCCTTCTCCTCTTGATATTAGCATTATCATAGCTCACACATATTTCCTAAAAACAAAGAACTCGCAAAACGAATAGCATGTTGTAAATAAGACAGACAAGCCCGGTGCGTGGCCCACATGTCATTACTTAATCTATAATGACAAAATGTCTCTGCAAATACACGGAGGTAGAGTATTTTTCCAGTAGCTAGCCTGTTAGCATCACTCAATTTACAACTTTAACACTATTCTGATACATCAACTGAAGAAATAAGATTCCAGTTTAATCGTTCATAGTATAGTTTACGCGTCGATACATAACACAGTCATCAGAATGACCCTAAAGCTGTGATGATTTTAGATTTCATCTGTAGGCTCGCTTCAGCGATTTCATACGATATGAAAATGTACTAACCGCCATCTTGGATCACTAGAAGAGGACGTTACGTTTCCGGCAAGGCTTATTTATAGTAGAGTGTTCACCAAAAATAGGGTCCGGAAAACATCCTGGCCAAGGGTTCCGCTTTAGATAGAAAAAGCAAAATATTATTGTAAAAAACACAAAATTGCATAAATTATTTTATTGTCTGAATATATAAAACAAAGCTCTGTGGGTCTGCTTAACTTCATATTTGATTTATGTCTCCCGTAGTGTGTCCTCTCTCTCTCTCTCTCTCCCTCCCTGTACCTTTCTGTAGGTTGCCCTAGCTCTGGAGCTCTACATCTCTGATGAGCAGTGACTGGCCAGTGTTTGATTGTTTGTTGTGTCCTGTTGCTTTTCTTTTTCTCTCTCTCCTTTATTCCTCTATCCACTCACCCCAGCCAGTCGAGGCAGAAGGCCGCCCACCAACGCATCACTGCAGTGATAAACTAGGTGAAATTATGAGGGACTATGTAATAATCTACTGAGGTGCAATATTCAGCTCCTGGGTGTGAAATGCATTGTAAATAGGCTCATGTGTAATATCTCGTTCCTGATCTCTCTCAAATACTGTACATTGCCTTGCTTTAGGTATTTTTGAGTAGTTGCTCATGGAAGTAGCTTATGGCTGAAACACAGGTTTCTCTCCCCCATTGTGGGATTAATTGTGTGAGTAATATTCGATTGTTCTTGATTTACTGGTTGTTTAGTCTCTACTGCTGTTCCTGATTCTCTCCAGTGCTGCTTTTCCCTGTTTTTAGGTGCCTTTGATTTGCTTATTTGTGCTGTGTAAAATGTAATGTTCTGATAACGCGGTTCTGATGCTTTGTTGCCAGATACAGTAGAAATGCTTGATTCTTTGTGTGGTACCAGTGCGGGTCATGTAGAATCTATAAATGATGTCCTTATGCTGTAAATATTAAAAAAAGTGTTTTTATTAAACTTGGAAGTTCATAAATAATACAGCATTGCAGTCACATCTTTAATGTGAGTTTTCTCCAAAATGGTACAATAGAAATGCTTCTTTGTGTGGTACCAGTGCGGATCATGTAGAATCTATAAATGATGTCCTTATGCTGTAAATATTAAAAAAAAGTGTTTTTATTAAACTTGGAAGTTCATAAATAATACAGCATTGGAGTTAAGGTATTATATTTTGAAAATCGCGAGGTTTGGCCCGTTTCAATACCTTTACCGTAAATGTAAGTATATAGAGTATATAGGCGCACTTCAAATTCTAGCGCGGCTGGCTTGACCACGGAAAACTGAACGGCGGCTGATTTGACCGCAGTCTTTTGTGTGCGTGTGTCAGTGGATTTGACACCTACATACTGTGCCTCTTCCTTCTTACACTGAGAAGACAAGCTGCTGAGGTTCATATAAAACCTTAGTTAAAATAGGAAAATGTATTAATAAGCAACTTTATTTTCTATACAAACATTTGCAGTACACTGACATTTACAACATAATGCAGTACCAAAACACATTTAATTAAAGCAAAAAGTGAATTTAATTAAAGCAGACGGACACACACAAACACACAAAAAACAAGAAATGTTTCCACAGTAGAGATGATATCACATTGTTGCTAATTAAAGAAATAAAAAGTAAGAGAACAAACAAGGAATAAAAATTGCAAAATTACTATCAGTAATTTCACTGATAAATTAGCACAGAATAAACATTATTAGTTTATTCAAATTATTGCAATGGGCTCAGTGAAATAATTTCAGAATCTATAGTAGTGTTAAAGTTATGTTGTGAGTGTTTTAGTTAACAAAGTTATGTCTGTTATTGCAGTCAGTGAATTTAAAAGGGGTCTGGGAAGATGTTACGCTAGAGACTGGAAAGCTAGGTAGTCATTCTGAGCTATGACAGGGATTTGGGTATTAGAGGTTGTACTATTTTAAATATTCAGTGCACATCCTCATTCCCCTTTAAACACAAAGGAAAGGGCAAAGCCTAAAACTACAGTAATGAGGACTAGTTTAATCATAAATGCAGTGTCTAGAAACTGAGTTGTAGTAAGCAAAGAGGGGGCATCTGCTGCAGAGCTCATTGGTCTCCATGGAGAGAAAGGAGTTGGAGGCTTCAGCAGGGGCAGGCCCTCCTGCCTCTGCTTCTCCAAGGCGTTGACGAGGAAAGCCAGTGATTTGCGGGGGAAGATGGCTGGAGCAAAGAGGTTGCATTCAGGGACAAAGAAGTGAGGGAGGTTGCCTTTCCGTGCATGGTCCTCTAGATCCCCTAAGAGCTGCAGGAAGCAGACTGGGAGCCGTTGGTGAGCCCACATGGAGTCACTGTACCTGACAGACAAAATGCAGGGGGACAAAAGTGAAACAGTAGAGAAGTTGAAAATCTGAAGGAAACACTGAAAGATTTCTACTCAGGTTTAACCAGTAGTACTAATATAAGTGTAAACACTACTACTACCGCTGCTTCTATTGCTATAAGAAGCATGATTGCTAAATAGGGCTGTAACTAGAGATTATTTAAAAGATGAAGTGATCTGTTTATTTGTTTTGTTTACACTACATCGCTAGCTTCTCATGCTGCACACAACACTGACAGACCACAGACAAAGCAGAGATCATGTACATGTGACCACAGACTACAGGACCACCACCAGCATCATCAGCTCCACAGACAACCTGCCGGATGACCTCAACACCTTCTACACCCGCTTTGAGCTCTCCAGCTACAGCACAGAGGAAGCACGCACACACCTGGACCGCCCAGCCCCCCACCTCCCCTCCACTAACTGTCTCACCAGGCCAGGTATGCACAGTCCTGAAGATCAACCCCCACAAAGCAGCAGGACCGAATAACATCCCTGGGAGGGCTCTCAGAGCATGTGCCAGTGAGCTGGCTGATGTTCTCACCACCATCTTCAACCTCTCCCTCAGCCAGAGCATC